TCCCTTCTCTATCTCTTACTCACTCTCTCGCATACACCCTCTCTCTCCTCTCACACTCTCTCCCCCACTCTCAATCACTCTCTCCCCACCTTCACACACTGTCTCACTCAATCATTCTCTCTGGGCCTCTTCCCCCCATTCTATCCTCTTCCTCACATTCTCTCTCCTGCAATCTTCCCTCCACCACACACACACTCTCCCTCTCTCAATCACCCTCTGCCCCCGCTCACACTCTCTATCTATCTCACACTCTCTCTCCCTTCTCACACTCTCTTTCTCTCCCTCTCTCAATCACACTTTCTCTCCCAATCTCTGTCAATCATTCTGTCTCCCCCGCCCCCTCTCTCACACAGTCTATCACTCCCCCTTTCTCACCTCTCTGTCACATGCACTCTCTCTCACTCAATCATTCCCCCTCCCTTTTGTGCCTCCTTCTACCCCGTCTCTCCCACCCTCCTCTCCTAATCAATCGGGTGGTTCACTCTCTGCAGGAGCCGGCAGTTGCTAAGGATCCAGTGGATAAGGAGATGCACGTGCCTTCCTGACAGACTGCAGTAATGGACTGTGTTATTTTCACTCTCCACGCTGCGTCCTCACAACTGCTGGCTCCTGCCGCTGCCGCGGGAGAACGTTCACCAGGGAGGGAGGGAACGGAAGTTGGAATGTTGGAAATGATCTCAAGCCGGATAAAATCACCAGCTGGGCCGGATGCGGCCCATGGGCCGCCAGTTGGACTATGCTGACCAAGAGTTATCACACAAGAAAAAAAACAACCAAGTCTTAAATGTATTATATAATCTTACAATCTTACAATTTATAAAGTATGGTGTCTTTCAAGTCAGGGGGACGTCTCAAAGCACTTAACATTTTTCAGTTAGCTGAAAAGTGTAGAATTCTTCGAACAAAGCAGTTTAAGTTTGCAACTCAACACATCTGCCACAGTGCTGCGTTGTCCAAACGAAACTCAGGAGCCAATAGATGACAATGAGCTTGCAAACAGGGGCCAGGCGGTGGCCAGCAATGAGGTACAGCGCTCACAGGACAGGAGTTCATCAGGCCCTCGGTCAAATTAAAATAAGTTCGCACAAGGAAACCACCAGGAAACTGTTCAAAGAATCACGATCTGTGTACAATGGGGGCTTTGAAATCTGCCGTAATCAGATCAAAGAGAGCCTTTAAAATAGAGTCGGGCAGATTCCAACATTCCATGGTCAACTTAAGTCTTTTGGAAGAAAAACAAGTTGTTCCTGGAGCTCACAGGTTTCGGTTAGACTGTGTAGCACTGTGTGGGGTGTGTCGAGTTATGAACGTGATTTATTTTCTTCAAGAAATTCTGCACTTTTGAACTGACTGAAATTTTTCAAATGCAAGACATTTGAGACTCGATTGTTTTCCAATGTAATAACTTTTTCTGCTCTGTATAAAAGTGTTTATTTATATGCTCTAGACTGTAATTAACCTAATTTCAGCTTGATTGGAAAACGTGTGGATCAACTTGAAATATCTATCGTGTCAAGCTGACTTGGTGCAGAGCTGGAGTTCATGTATGTATGTTCTGGCCAACAATCCCCCAGATAAAATTGGTCTTTCACTTCACAGCTGTTAGTGGGACATTGTTGTTACGAGATCACAAGTTCAGTTTGAATGAAGAAGGTACTTCCCTCCAGAATATCCCCTTACTGTCCTTCCATCACAGCTTCAAGCTGTTTTTTAAGTGAGTCCAGTGTCCTGGCCTCAACCACCTTTCCTGGCAACCCGTTCCAGTTATTATTTACTCTCTGGGTCAAGAAAATCTTCCTGGTGTCTGTTCTCAAATTGCTCTTTGTAACTCTAAACTCACATCCTCTAGTTCTACTGTCTTGTTACATCCTAAAGTCAAGCACAGATTGACTCTCACATTCACAGTCATTACATTTTACACTAAATCCTGTGATGCGCTTTTGAGACATTTTGATGGCATGATAAGGAGATATCAAATGCAAGGATAATTATTAACTGAGCCTTAAACCATCCTGCTAAAAACACAATGTTGAAGAAAGAGTATTTCTAGATAATAATTATTGCATTTGATATGGGACTTTACACGTCAAAAGAACTCAGGCAATCGCTTTCAAGTGTAGTGACTGTTTTATTATAGGCAAACCTGGCAGCCAATTTGCACACAGCCAGGTACCACTGTTCGTCATAAGGTGGATGACCTATTCGCCTGAAAGACTGTTGGCCAGGGCACCAGGAGAATAGCGTCTTCGCTTATCCGACCAGACTGGTAGGAACTTAGTTTAATGTTTCACCTAAAGGTCTGTATCTATCACAATGCAACTTCACCCACTACTGTACTGGAGGGTCCGCCTGGATTATGAGTTCAAAGTCCCTAAATGGAGCTTTAAACTTTCTGACAACATTCTGACCTTATGGCAAGTGTGTGACAACAACAGCAACAAAATTACATTTGCGCAGCTCCTTTCACATCGGGATAATATAATATTATTTACTATATAATATTAGTAACTAGATAACAGGAGACGAGTGCCTGCTTATAGGAATTCAATTGCTTACTGAGTTTCAATTGCATCTTAATACAAGGGATACTGAAAGAATTGTAAAATAGTTGCAATCTTTGGAAGAGATTAATCACTGACTGCAGGAAATAAAAATAGTATCTACGGCAACTGGATTTTGGAAATCTTATTTTCATGTTCTTAATGCCTTGATTTTTAAAGAGACAAATTATCATTGATCATCTAATGTCTACAAGGACAATGCCAATAAGAATGCCACACAGATGTGTGCTGCCTGGAGTGATTTTGTCATTTAATAAGATTGCCTGAATTGCTTAACCATTTATTAATCATTCTTCCTGGAGCAGAATAACAAACATGAAGTTGAAAGTACAATCTGCTAATCAGAGGTTTCCAACCCAGTTGTAGGGCATACTTTTAAAAATGGATTTCCATTTGCTTCTCATTACTGTTTAAAACAAGGTCTATGAACGTGTGTGGGGGGTGAAGGAGCTTATCTAGTTATGTGGAGTCCTGTAGCGTAGTGGTTAGAGCGCTTGCCTCGCAAGCGAGAGGATCTGGGTTCAATTCCCGGGCAGGAAAGGGCGAAACCTGTTTCGTTACTCCGCACGCCTCTGTTTACCGAGCAGTAAATAGGAACCCGCTTGTTAGTCGATTGGCAAATCACTTTCCGGGGGTAATAATCGATCCAGAATAATAGTAAATTGCTCACTCAATCCACGACTGTTTGTGGGACATCGCTATGTGCAATTGGCCGCTGCGTTTTGCCCACAAAACACATAGTTACTACACTTACAGTGCATCTTGTGAAGCACTTTGAAACGTTTCGAAGACGTGATAAAGCGCTTTATCAAATGCAAGGGTTATTATTATTATGATGAACTAGGATTTGGCATTTCATAACAAATGAAGGAACTCTTTGGAATTTACTAAATAGTAATAACATTCTCTGTTTGACCAAAATGATGCAGCAAGTGGCAGCTCTAGGTGATCAGTCTGGTTAGTGGCACACTTGCCTCCGAGTCAGAAGATAGTGGATTCAAGGGCCACATTAGAACTTTTGACAGTCTCGGCTAACAATTCAACACAGTGCTGGGGGACTACTGCATTGTTGGATGTGCCGTCATTTGGTTGAGACGTTAAACCATGGTCCCACCTGCCTGGTCAGGTGAATGTTAAAAGATCCCGTGGCACTACTCAAAAAGTGAATGGGAGTTTCTCCCGATGTCCTGTCTGACAATCCTCAGATTGGTCATTCACTTCACAGCTGTTTGGGTGACATTGCTGTGTACAAATTGGCTGATGCTTTCACCTCCATGGTCATTAGATTAAAATCTTGTGAAACGCTGCGAGACATCCTCAGGAAAGGTGTTATATCAAATGCTAGGATTATAATTATACAGCTGGATTCTATTTGATTATGAATTCTTGGCTATATCACTTTCACAACATTATCAAATCACACATTAATGGGTTACCACACTGCCCAACATACAGGGTGACCAAAAAGTCATGATACCATTACAATGTCTAATAAGTCTTAAAGTAATAAGATAATAGGGTAGATACTACGACTTTTTGGTCACCCTGTACATTTGCTTCGCAATTTCAACTGGAGACTATTGTTTTATTTATTTTAGCAGCAAGATCCTCTGAATGGAAATGCCTCACTTCCATTGTGCAGGACCCAAAACACACTAATCAGCATAATGCATTGCATCACGATGACTATTTAATCCACAAAACCCATCAAATTGAAAGTAGAATCTCTATGAAGGACCTTCTAATCTAGAAAACTCATCCTTTATGATTAGAAGTATTATAGGAGATTATGTAGCAGGAACTAGGTCACTGTGTGAAGTCCTGATAAGTGAAGAAAACTTATGAAAAAATTATTATTCATTCAAAAGGTATTCAGTGTAACTGGTTTTCTGGATACTGTCCAGAAGATGGAGATAAATCCATATATTCCGGACTATTAGTCATAGACTAGTTATGCATTTAATCAAACCTAGGATTTTTAAATATAAAAAACTATTTATTATCTCAGAAGGGAGGAACCACAATTAATTTCAACACAGCTGGTACATTACACAAACTTTGCTCTTTACTTGGGAGTCCTGTATCATATTAGTTAGAGCACTCGCCTCGCAAGTGAGAGAAACTGGGTTTGATTCCCGGCAGGGTGAAACCTTAAGCAGGTTTCCTTACTTCACATGCCTCTGTTTACCTAGCAGCAAGTAGGAACCTGGGTTGTCAGTAGATTGGCAGATTGCTTTTCCGGAGGTAATAATCCTTTCAAAATAAATAATAATAATTTGGTCCCTCACTGCGTTTTGCTCACAAAATATACAGTCAATTCAGTTTACAGCATATTCTGCGAAACGCTTTGAGACTCTTGATGATGTGAAAAGCGCTATATCAAATGCAAGGATTAATATTATTAGCTCTATTTACAGTTAAGTATCTGGAAGCACTCACCTGCCACGGATGAGGGATCTCAGGGAGAGGGATCTGAGGTGGAGCAGGTAAACTGCAGGGTAAATCAGGCTTCTGGGAGGAGTCTTTCCTTTCACAATCTGCAGCAAGATAAACCAGTAAGTAAGAGAAAATGAACTGCGCTCAAATACATCTAAATCAAATACAAGTAAAACATCTAAATTAAAAACACAGGTGTCCTTTAAGAATTAAAATCAGTTATCAATATCAAAACAGTCTCAAAACAAAAACAGAAGTAGCTGGGACTCAGCAGGTCAGCATCTATGGAGAAAGGAAAGTGAGTCAAAGACCCTTCGTCAGTCTCAGTCACACAGTCTCGCACTAATGTGATGTAACAGTGTATTACCAGGCTCAATATACAGTCAATGTATTCAGTCTATGAACTGGTTACCCACTGAGCTGCCAAGGTATTGATCACCCAGTGGGCTGCCTGTGGACTGGTAGCCCATACACAAAGAACCCAGTGGGTTAGCAACACACAGAATATTATCATACAAATATACAGTGACACAGTGCTGTATCATAGGATGTCATCTTGGTTCACACTGAAATAGTAACAAAACAGCAATGACGATCATGATACAAATGGCAGTGCCGAAAATCTGGGGACTAACTTCAGACCCAACTACTATGCTAAAGACAGGGAGTGGCCGCAGAGTCACATCTGAAATCAGTCAATAGCGATAGATGGGAAATCTCAATGTTTCTTAATTTCCATTTAGGAAACAAATTGCAATTTTCAACCTACAACATCTTGAAATCTTAACATGTTCCAAGTTTGAGACATTAAATCTACTCATTACAAGCTTTCCAACCACCGCCATCTTATTTTTGAATGATTTTTGAACTCTACTTTTAAACTTTGTGACCATTCGATGCTGTTTGCATACATGTGCAAGTTTCATGCATTCATGTTATCCTCTGCTCCCTTTCTATTTGGTGTTAGCTTAGGAATATAAACAGACTGAGAGCCAGAACCAATGCATCTACACCAGTTACTGCCTCCAGAGCTTTATCCTTTCATTAATATTCTCTAAGGTTACTGCAGAGAGGATGATTCCATTTAGGTCTTATCAGCATCTTTGTTCAAGTTATCTTGACTTTTATATGAATTTATTACAAACCTACTTTCTGCTTGTTAAACCAGCTGCAGATCATCCAACTGAAGGAACATAAAATGGACAGCACAGCAGGGCTGGTTATCTAAAGTGCATTGTGCCAAACTACTTTGCTACAGTTTCAGACTGTATTTGATTGTTTATCCTTGACTGCACTCTCGAAAGACGAATCAAACAGTTATTTTACATTAATCTACTCTGCACAAATCATGGATAAATCCTTTTAATAGGATTTATCCATGATAGGATGCGGGAGAGGACACGGGCTGCAGAGTTCTGGATGATCAACAGCCTATGGAGGGAGGAGTTGGGGAGGCCGACAAGCAAGGACTTTGCATAGTCGAGCCTCGATGTAATGAATGTGTGGATGAGGGTTTCAGCCGCCTGTGGTGTGAGACAGTGGCAGAGCCGGGCAATGTTGCGGAGGTGGGGAAACTCAGAGCGGGTCATGGTGCAGATGTGGGGTAGAAAGTATAGTTGAGAATCAAACAGGACCCCAAGGTTCTGGATTGGGTTAGTAAGGTGGAGTGGTGTTGTCAGCATCTGAGGTGAGGAGGTGCTGACGGGGGCCAATCAGGAGAGCCTCAGTCTTGTTGATGTTCAACTGAAGAAAGTTAGCTCAGGACTTGTTAGTTACCAGGACTTGATGTCTGACAGACATTCTGTCAGGACAGCAGTGGTCCTGGAGTCAAGAGTCCCTCTGCCTCGACCCCTCCTTTGCCTCCTTCAAGACCCATCTCAAGACCCTCCTCTTCGACCGTGCTGTCGATCACCCTGCATCCCCCCCTGTCCTCCACTATCCCAACCCCCAGTTCGGCTCCGAAACTCTGACTCTCCAGCGCTTTGAGACATCCTCCCGACGTGAAAGCCGCTATAAAAATGTAATGTTGTTGCGTTGTTTAAGTTCACAACTTCTTCACATGTTCTATGTAATGTTCAATTAAGAAAACTGGTTAAGAATATTATGGAACTTTCTGTGTTCTGTGTAAAGTTTAGTAGTTTTGAAATGGTCAACAACTGCGACGACTCCAACGTGACATCTCCCACTATGGTGGGAGGATTTTGTGTCTGTGCCCATATTTTTTCACATGGATATAACAGCACCATTATGGGAAGGCATCAGAGGGAAATGTGGATGGTGGTTTGCCAGGTGTGCGCGTGTAAGTGAATGTTGGATTGGCAGGTATATATGTGCGTGTGTGTTTGTATTTCAAACCATTTATGAACTTCTTCAAATCTTCTGGCATATCAATTACCTGTCTGCATTTCAAAACCTCTATCGGAGGAAACTTGCAGGGTTGATAACCGTTGAATTTAATAATTATTGCCATGTAACAAACCCTGCAAATTTCACTCCCAATTTCACTACAGATAATTAATGCAATCAATTAACATCGAGTTGCCTTAGAAATCTAATTCTAATGAATAATAATATTAATCCTTACATTGGTATAGCACCATTCATGTCGCGAGGATGTCTCAAACCACTTCACAGGATTCACTGTTAGGTGTAGTGACTGTCATTTGTAGGTGAACGTGGCAAGCAATTTGTTTCAGGAAATCTTATTCTCCGAAAAGGATGGATCTAATGACATCAATTGTTATGTAGAATCATCTGTCAGAGTTTCAAGCAAAGCAAAAGCCAAGCCTGATCAAAAGAGTCACTGCCACCCAAGTAGTCTTGACCACCATGTGTGATGGTGCACAGACTAGTTGATTTGTGGCAGACTTTACCTTTCCTCAGATTACATTTTTAATAAAGAACTGCACATAAACCTGAAGGATTCCAGGAATCAAATAGTTGTATGGAAACTTCCAGAAAACAAAATTCACATTTTTAGATACCTCGTATTATTAGTCTGAGTCTTCTGGTTTGGGAAAATTTACAACATTGACAGGAAAAAAGATCCTATTCTCTGCTGGACTATAAATTTACAGACCATTACCGTTGTCAGCCCATAATTTACAGACCCACAGAGAATATGATGTTCTTGCTCGCCAAGGCCATTACATTTAGCAATTTTGAGAAAATCATTCCTCTCATCTCAGCTGTTTATTTTTACTTGAAAGTAAAGTCAAGGATTACGAAAGAGAGGTAAAGCGGTCCAACCACAATTGGGCAATAGGAAGGAGGATTTATGTAGGAATGAAGGTCTGTAGGTGGGGTTCATCTTCTGTGGCTTCACTGTCTTTCTCTCTTGGTGCAATAGGAAAATAAAAAGGGAAATAAAGAAGGCTTATTTTGTGTTGGTGTTCATCCACAAAACATTACTCTATTTTACAGTATACCCTGTCAATCAGTTTAGGTCTTCCTCCTAACTTGAAAGATGCTATACCAAATATAAATCTTGTTATTTTTGCTGTACAATTTTTAAGTTTTGACACTATTTATGTTGATGATAAGAAGGGATATGGCCTATACCTAAATTATATATAAAGATGTGATGTGAGAGCTAGAAATTGTGCCAAAGTTGCCTGGACTGCAACCTTCCGGTTATTAACATCTATGTTTAATGGTTTAGGAGCTTGCAAGATTAGGAACAGCAGTTGTATAAAACATGTTAGTTGGTGCGAAATAATAGTTTGGAAAAACAGAAGGTCAAACACTGCACTGCAGCAAGGTCACTGGGGACCTGAAACCCTTCTGAGAACCTAATCCTATAATAATAATAATCCTTGCATTTCATATAGTGCTTTTCACGTCTTCTAGACGTCCCAAAGCGCTTCACAGAATATACTGTAAAGTGAATTGACTATATTTGTGGGCGAACGCGGCAGCCAATTGCGCACAGCAATGTCCCACAAACAGTCGTCAATTGAAAATGACCAATTTATTATTTTTTTGTTTTGGAGGGATTATTATTAGGTGTGTGGAGTAAGGAAACTTGCCCAAGGTTTCGCCCTGACTGGAATTGAACTCATGTCTCTCACTTGCAAAGCGAGTGTTCTAACCACTGAGCTACAGGACATCGACAAGGGCAAAAAGTTGATTGAATAAATTACACGTGCATACTTAGGAAGTAAGATCATAGATGATTAATTCCCATTCTGAGACCTCCTGCTATTTACAGTGGCCAGATTTGCTGACCATCACGTAATATTTGGAATGATGCTTGCATCTCCTAAGTGATTACAGCTTTGGATTTAATGTTTGTAATGGTCCCCAGCCGAAAATACCCCAGTCAATGATATTGGCCTCTGCGCAGAACCATGTTCAGAAGTTGGATATCTTCCAAAATATACTTATGAGGTGATTCTGTCAGATCGAGTTACTTCAAGACTAAATCACTTAGTTTTATCGAACAATGACGTGATGTAGAAGACAGGATTCCTCAGGAATGACAGCAAATGTAACAGGTAAAAAGATCTTTTGAAGCTAATGTTTAGGAATGTGGAATGGTCTATCAGTATTTATCTCAGCAGCAATAGGCCAGTTCCTGGATTGAATGAGGACTGTGACACCATGAGCCCAGTTAATCCAGGGAGATAGGCCAATCACCCAAGTAGATCACCCAAGTGGATTTTGATTGACAAACTGCTGGATGTATTGGAACTCATCCAAATTTTCCCTTTATCTCTGTAGGCTTTCTCAGTTCTCCAAAATCAGCCCTTATCTACTTTGTTCTTATAATTTGCATAGGTAGTGTAATTGGGAAGACTTGCTATAAATATAGCAACTACAAGAAGCAGAATACATGTATTTAGCCAGGGCCATAAAAATGAGTCACCTTAGCAATTAATTCAATATTTATCACAATAAAGCCAGGAAATTATTTTAGTAGGTAAACACCTCCCAACCACGCCCAGTTCTCAATGTCAACATCCATGGAGCCAGGTTGCACGATTGATCTTCTGTCTTCCACAATCGGTCAACTGCTGGATACTGGAACACACACAGGCTTCTCTAACTATTTTGCTCAGCAATATGTCAGTGTTATGGGCCTGGCTATGGTACTGTTGAA